ATCATGTCGTTTTATTCTAACATTCACCTGTGTTTAAACATGTAGATCTACTCAATCCATGCATTTATGTTGTCTTTTGAACCAGTACAAAATTCTTTGTCCTGCAAAATATCTAATACAGACGAGGCTTTCTCAGCATTGTTAGTAATCTAACTGACCTTTTGTTACAGCTGAAAAATTTGAGGTCCCTGAAACAAGTCATAGCTACACCTTAGCAGCTGATGTTGGGATACTGAGTAGAAACATCAAAATAGTAGGTGAAGATTACCCAGGTTGGGCCAAGGAATCTTTTGGTGCACGCGTCCTTATCAGCTCATTTACTGAAAACATGGTGACATTTAGAGGTTGGTACAAGTTTAAATCATATGTTCTGCATTAACTATGTGTATATTAGCAGTAAAGAATTGTGCTGCCAACACAAAGATACGAGGTTTGAATCTACCAACTAACTCCTCCATGGGAAAAAGATGGGTGATATCTTCCCATGCAATTTACTGCCTCTGAAAACTCTCCGGAGGGTCAGCTATGAGATGATTCTCAGCAACAACAGTCTCAGCAACAGCACAGTCTCCTCTAGTTTTAGGCAGTCTTCAATAATTCTCATTTTTCTTAATAGGACCAAATGGGAAAATAGCCATGAGATGGACTAAAGAGCTAAAACACTAACTTTTAATGAGATTTTGTAACATTGATGGGATTGATTTTATCTTCATACACTCTAAAAATTATCAGATTGGTCATCATTTTAGATTACAATTAGGCTAACCTCATACTCAAACAAAAATAAATTTTTTTAATAAGTAAAGGCTCTTCTGCTAGTTCTGTTTTATTTTAAGGGAAATTTCAAACATATACTCAGAAAAAAGAGAAAATCATATGACTCTAAAGTTCTCATCACAATCTTCGGGTAATTTATAGCTCCTCAGGTTAAATGTAGAATTTTATATATTCTGTTAGTGTAGACTCTAAAACAATATAGCTGAGATAGAAATGCAAATCCTCAGCAGAAGGTCAAGCCAAGTGAATCAGTCAAAGCCTTGATTTTAAAATATTCTAATCCTTTTGGTTCTTCTTGTTATGTGTTGTCGAGTTGGAACTGATGCTCCAGGGGTTTCAGAGGAAGTAAATCACATGGGAGTGGATTGTCCATCTCTCTCCCTTGGGGCAGTGGGTGAATTTGAACCTTCCACTTTTGGGTCAGCAGCGCAGCTCCTTTCTTCTAGGCCACCAGATTTCAAATGATAAGCAAAATTACCTGTTGTTGGTATTTAGAATCTTTTCATGTCAATGCTCAAGCTCTTCTGACAGGAATTAGATTTTAGCTTCTTCACCATCTAATATGACAAATCTATATTGTTATTTTCCTCTCTGAGACTTTATTCCCCCTAACCCTGGCTGGTTTTGTAGAAGCTGGTATTTGGATCCCACCATGTGAGTATTAGAAGCAAATTATCCCTTCTTGACTTGTACTCTTTTGGGTGGTTCTCACTTCTCAAAACTGACAGTTCCACTTTGCAACAGCCCTAATTTTAGGAAATCATCATATTGAGCAAACAACTCTCCATTATAACCCTTCCCTGTTGGTCCTAATTTACTAATAGAAGCATAGCCATGATCGTGATCCTGATAGAAGATTTCAGGCACTGTGTCAGGCTTTTAACATATATTCTCTCATTTAATCTTCCTAATACCATGATAAAAAAAAATACTGTCCCCTTTTAAAGATGAGGATCTAAATGGTCAATAAGATAAACTTTCTGTGGCCTTGAATACTAATCCATGTTTTTTTCTCACTTCAAATCTCTTCAGGATCCCCATAATAGCTTTTTTGTTTGTTTGTCTGCTACTGTCAATTATTTTGTGATGTGAATTAAGAAAACATAGAGATGATTTTTTGAGGGTTGAGGCTACATAGTGATAATCTCTTCTGTGTCTTCACCTTACTACTAATATATTCTCCACTATGAATCCACTAGCTGACTCATGGGTGCTCATACCGACTTCTATTATACAAAAGAAGAGCTCTTGTAGCTCTTTTCCAATCCATTCCATCCGTTTCTTAAAACCAGAAATAGCCTCAGCCGCTATTTTCTAATGCTGGAATTGTACTTCATTTTCCTCATCTAAGCAACCACAAAAAAAGGATAATAAAAGTTGATCATTCACAGGATGTTTTAAGAGAATTAAACCTCTTGTTGCCTGTTAAGTACTTAATGTAACACTTAGCACAAAGTAATCTCTCATGGATTACTGTTGCTGCAGTTACTAATCTATAAAACCAATTTGCTGCAATTACTAATCTGAAGAAAAAAAGAAGTAATTAATAAGATTTCTATGACGTTTTTTAACAACCTTGTGTGGATTTTCAGGAATTCCATATTTGTGTGTTCCCTCAGAGTGCTGGTATGATGTTGTTGTTAGATGCTGTTGAGTCGAATATGACTCATAGAGACCCTATGAACAAACGGTCTGAACCCTGTTCTATCCTGCACCATCCTCACACTTCCTGACACACCAGACCCATTGCAGCAGTCACCGTGTCAATCTGCATGTTTGAGGGTCTTTCCTTTGCTGACCCTCCCCCCTTCCCACCATCATATCTTTCTCCAAGGAATAGTTCCTTCTAACAACATAAGGAGAACACTGTTCTAAGTGATAAAGCACTTGTCTGTCAGTTTGCTGTACTGAGGTAACTAAAATCTGTGTCACTAGTGTGTCATATGCTGGTATGAGAGGAATAGGCAAATTAGAAATTGACTATCTAAAAGGAGGTTATTAGGGCATGAGGCGTGAAGTAGTTGCTTTATACACTTTCATGAATGTAGTTATTAAAATGATAGTAAGGGGGGAAACCCCACAATATACATGAATGAAATATAATGAAAGATTATATAAAACAGTGTACATGCATGAAACACAATGTGTTTGAATGATAAAAATATCAATCACTTTTTTAAAAAAAAGAATTATGTATTTGTGTCAGGATTTTGTTTTTCCTCTTCTTCCCATCCCCTAGGAAAAGCAAGAATAAGTAACGTTGAATTTTATCACAGTGGTCAAGAAGGCTTCAGGGATAGCACAGACCCAAGATATGCTGTGACATTTCTTAACCTAGGACAGGTTTGTTCTTAATTTTTAATTGTTGCACATATTCAAAATAAAATTTTTCTTTGCAATTTATTTTTTACCCAACTTTACTAAAACCCTACTTCAGAATAATCTAATTTAAAGAAACTTACCTGGATATATTTCCCATTAATCTTTTTTTGCCCTCACTCACAGCAGAAGTTGATTTAATCAATCTCATGAATTTAAGATTAGTGCAAGAAGTCAAGGAAAAGTAGCACTGATAAAAATAAAGTCATAGGAAAATGTATCAGCAGTTTCTTAAACTCCATTTGACATAAGCATAATTTTGCTTTATTTCACCATGAACTCAAAGTTTATGGAAATTTCTCATGTAGAAAAGATCTACTGAGAAAAATATTTCTTTTAAGGAAAGTAAACTGAGAATTTGTCAAGGTTTATCTTGTGAAAATCACTCAATTTATAGGAAAAGTATTTTTCTTTAAGTGCGTTTGAATTTTACTTTTAAATGTTCACTGAGTCCTAATGTTTTATAGGCTGAAGAACACAACTCATCGTATATTCGAGGCTGTGCTTTCCACCATGGCTTTGCCCCAGCAATTGGTGTGTTTGGGACTAATGGATTGGACATAGATGACAACATCATATACTTTACAGTGGGAGAAGGTAATATAAAAATATTGGAGCCCCAATCCCATTATCTTTCTAAAGCAATCTCATCTGTAAACGCTAGGGTTGGGCTGTACAATGGATATTTCTGCAGTGATGGAAATAAGTAATGCAGTCATGACTAAGCCATGAATGACTACTGTGCTCTTGAAATGTGGCTACTGTGACCGAGGGACTGAATTTCCCACTTTATTTGCATGTAATTTAACTTGTACTTAATTCCAGTTTATATAGCCATACTTGACTGCTAACTAAAAAGGTTGTAGTTCAAACCTACCAACTGCTTCATGGGAGAAGGATATGGCTGTCAGTGTCCATCAAGATTATAGGCTTTGTCATTTCCTCAAAAAGCTGAACATAGACATTTCATATGACCCAACTAGTCTACTGCTTGCAATATACCCCAAGAATATTAGAACTGAGGCACAAATGGAGGCACAAATACACACCAATGTTCAGAGCAGTGTTATTCACTATCACAAGAATATGGAAACAGCCCAAGTGTCCAACCACAACCAAATGGATTAAGAACGTATGGTACATTCTCATGGTGGAATACTACACAGCATACAAGAGCAATAATTTTATAAATCACTGCCTAACTTACGAGGGACTGGAAAGCATTATGCTAAGTGAACTCAATCCCATAAGGACAAATACTATATAAGACTATTATTGTAGAAATAGAAAGGTAACTAGTAAAATGTATATGAGGATCCAAGGGTGGGGGGGTAGGAGCAGAGGGGTGAGTATGGGCAGAGGGGTAATCACAGGGTCGCACAATCTGATGGGTAGAGGGAAGAGTGGGTAAAGGAAATGGAAAGATCCAATGTAAAAAAAAACCCCAATGTATATGAACTTTGTAAGTTAATCAGTATAAAATAAAATTCTTCTTTTTTAAAAAAGATTACAGCCTTCAAAACCCTATGACACAGTCCTACTCTATTCTCTAGGATCAGTATTGTGCTTGTCTATGGCTACCCTTGGACAGTGTACCCTTGGACATGGAATACTTATTACCTGATTCTGATTACATATGAGTTATTTAATAATAAATAACTTAAATTACTATTCTTTTTAAAATATTCTTCATGTATCATCAAAGGTTATTCACAAATAAAGGTTTTTGCTTTATAAAAATTATGTTCAACATGAGACATGTTAAGTTTTCTTGAATATCAGCATAAAACATAATGGAAACCTATTTCATGTACACAAAAATGATACATGCATTAAAATCTGAGGTACAGCCCACCACCCCACATAGTTCATAAGCACCCCAGGGGATTCTGATTCAGGGAGTATATTAAAGTGGTAGAGTTTCACTATCAAAGGTCATAGGAGTCACTCAAAAATCCAAAAAGATCCTTTTCGCAGTAAATCTAAAAATAAATAAATAAATAAGTACATACATAAATACATACATACATAAAATAAATTCCATGGAAAAAGTTATTCCTCATAGTGTCCATTAAAATTTACATCTGTTCTTTGGGGTTTTCTCTTTCTTCCTCTTTAGTTATTGCTTCCTTTTCTTTTCAACAGGAATAAGAATATGGGGTGATGCCAACAGAGTTAGAGGGAATTTGGTTTCACTTTCGGTTTGGCCAGGAACCTATCAGAACAGAAAAGATTCAAGTTCAACTCTCTGGCATGCTGCCATTGAGGTAGGAACACGTTCATATGTATAAATCACCTTCCTGCGGGTCATACTTTCTGCAGAGATTGGAAATCTCAAAATGTTACGGGAAATTATTTCTGTCATAGATAAAAATGGCTAAAATGAAGCAACAAAGGAGTGAGTGAACTTTCATAGAAGCAGAATCTCTGCTTGTTGGTGTCAGATGCCATGGGATCTTTTTTTCACTCATGGTGACTCTATCTGATGAAAGAGAATGGTTTCCTAAAATTTTCGTGGCTGTTGTCTTTATGGAAACAATTACCTTAATGTATCATATGTGAATAGGATAATCCTGTCAGATTTTCTTTCTATTGCTGCCCATGAAATTATTCTTTCTGCTTCTTCAATGTTATTCATCCCTTCAGAGTTCTGATAGCAGAATCACTCTGATACTAGTTGACAGTGACTTGCATTGATTACGTAACTCTCTGGATTTAGTTCTCTTAATCTTGTATAATTACTATGATAGACTAGCACTACCCAAACTAACACATTGCCATCAGGTTGGAACTGACTTATAGCTGACTCTTAAGTGAGGTTTCAGAGGCTGTAAATCACAGGAGAGGAGATTACCCATCTTTCTCCTGCCGATCAGCTAGTGGATTCCAGCTGCAAGCCTTTAGGTTGGCAGCACAAATCCTTATTCACTAGGCTACCAAAATTCCCGCTAATAGACTGGAAATACCTATAAAAACCAAGACTAAAACCTAACTTACACTGTCAATTCAATCTGACTTGTAGAGAGTCTCTCTCCATTTTGGAAGAAGCTGTAAATTGTTACAAGATTTGAACCATTGACCTTTTGCTTAGCAATGACCTGTTGCTCACTGTGTCACCAGTGCTTCATAGTGTAGACTCCATACAACAGACTTCAGAGTGTCTAAAATTCTAGAAAATTTCTCCTTCATCTAAAATGGTCACATTTCTGTCTTCAAGACTCCACTTAGCTAGTGTTAATGAAATTCTTCTTAGTTCCTGTGATATTGCTTCAATTGCTTCAGGTCTTTTTTAAATATGAAGTAACAACATTACAAGCAAGAAAACATGAAATGCTGCTTTTTGGTTTTATATTATTATTAACCTGTTCATACGAAAGAAAGGACATTTAATATAGGATTTCTCAACAATGAGATAAAAATTGAGTTTTTCATTGGTATTTGTGTGTATGTCCATGCCTTCATAATTACCTTAAAGTATAATTGAGAACTTGAAACTATTTATCTACTTAATGAAGTTAAAAAGAATTCTATTTCCATCTATTTATAGGTGTTAGAATATATTCAAATGTTAGTTCCAAATCCGTAACTTTAACTATAGCTTTTGCAAGAAAATTGTGTTTATTGTACATTTATGCATTCCATTTGACTATTTTTATCATAACCTTCTCAAATCATGGTATTTAGTGTGCTTCAAATGATTGAAACATTTGACTGTTTTGCTGATACCATGGGCAAGAACTAAGTCTTCTCTGCTCTATAAAAGGATCCTTGGTGGGGTAGCATGTTACTTGTTGGGCAGATAAACAAAAGGGAGGCAGTTCGAATCCATTAACTGCTTTGCAGCAAAAAAGATGGGCAGTCGCCTCCCATAACGATGTGCAGCCTCAGAAGCCCAAAGGGTTGTCTGCTTGAGTCCGAATCAACCTGACAGCAGTGGATTTGATTTGAGTTTCTTGCTCCATACTTTTACTTTCTATTGCTTTGGGGAGTTGGGTGCTGCAACCCCAAAGACACATGTTTTGAATCCACCAGCTGCCCTGGGGGAGAAGGATGGGCCACCTCTTCGCATGCAATTTACTGCCACTGAAAACCTATTGGAGGGCCAGCTATGAGCTGGTACTGACTTGATGGCACACAACAACATTAATACTTGGGCTTAGTTTATGAAGACAAATTTTCAGCAGCTACCTAACATTCATGTCAAGAAGACAAAGATTCTCACCACTGGACCAATTGGCAGCATCAGGATGGATGGCAAAGAGATTGAGATTGTTCACAGCTTCAGTTTGCTCGGCTCCACAGTCAACACTCTTGGCACCAGCAGTCAGGAAATCAAAAAGCATATCACGATGGGAAAGTCTACTGTTAGGGACCTCTCTCTAAAGTACTCAAAGCAACAGTGTCTCTCTGGAGACTAAAGTGCGCCTGATACAGGCCATGGTATTTGCAATTGCTTGTTATGCATCAGAGAGTTGGACAATGACTAGGGATGACAGAAGGAGAGTTGATGCCTTTGAGCTGTGGTGCTGGAGAAGAGTACTGAATGTACCATGGACTGCCAGGAAAACAAACAGATTCATCTTGGAGAGGATTAAACCAAGCAATTCCTTGGAGGCAAGGATTCTGGGGCTTTGTCTGACATACTTTGGACATGTTGTAAGGAGAGACAGGTCCTTGGAGAGGGTCATCAGCTGGGTAGAGTGGAGGGACAGCACAGGAGGGGAAGACCCTCTATGAGGTGGATTGATTCAGTGACTGGGGTAATTGGGATGGGTGTGTCAGAGGCAATGAGATTGGCACAGGATAGAGCAGGGTTTAGGGCTGTTGTACATAGGGTCGCTATGAGTCGCAAATGACTGGATGGCACATAACAACAACAACAACAACAACCTAACATTCATACTAACTTAGTGTTTCACTATAGCAGATATTACTTCTACTAACAAAGAGCTTTATTGAATCACATGGTCTTTTAATAAATCACATTGGTAATAGAGCATTAATCAATATTCTAAAAAAGAATGGTTAAAATACTCAAAACTTTGTCATAATACTCATATTTGGTCTGTTGTTTATAAATACTGAACTGTATCTAGTGGACTCTATGACTGAAATAAAAAGAAAAATTTTTTAAAGCTGCTTCCTTTATTTGTTAAGGCTAACAATTGAATTCTTTTTTTTTTAAATTATTAACTTTAATGAAAATTTACAGAGACTTTGGATTTCCATTCGTACATTGTTGCACTTTTCTCCCTGCCCACCCCTCCCATCCCCAGTACACTTTTTTCTTTGAAAAGTAAAAGAAAAATTCTTTCATTGTTTTACAATCCCTCCTCCCAGGTCATCTCCACTATGCAGTCTTCGTTCTGGACCCTTTTCATGACAAAAATACCTAATCACATATCCCTTTTAAACAGTTTTCTCCCTCATCTGTTTCAATGCAGTATTCATTATTTATCCCATCATTCTCAGTCTCCCCCAAATCCCAATGTCAGTCCTGTTTTACAACAGTGGCAATATACAGTATTTGTCCTTTTGTGACTGAGATATTTCACTCAGCATAATGTCTTTCAGGGTCATCCATTTTGAATACTATTTCATAAGTTTCTTGTTTTTCAATGCAGAATAGTATTCCATTGTGTGGATATACCACAGCTTCTCTATCCATTCTTTTGTTGATGGGCACTTAGGTTGTTTCCTTCTCCTTGCTATTGTGAACAAAGCCGAAATAAACATGGGTGTGCATATATCTGCTTGGATGTCAGTTATGGCCTCTTTGGGGTATATTCCCAGTAGTGGAATTGCTGGGTCAAATGATATCTCTATTTGCATAAAAATAAAATTTTTGATGCAGTCTTCTAACAAGGTTTGGTGCATGGTGTCTAGCAATCATTTTACACTAAGAACTAATAAATTTTATTTGAATTTTTTTTAATACTAATGTAGCTCTGGTGGCCTAATGGTAAGGAGTTGCACTGCCAATCTAGAAGCACACAGCTGAAACCTCCCAGCTGCTCCACAGAATAAAGATGGGCAGTTTCCTCTGGCACTGTATATAGTTTCCTCTGGCACTGTATATAGTCTCCTTGGCACTGTATATAGTCTCCAGAAACCTGCTGGAGGGTCAGCATAGGTTGGTTCCAACTTGCTGAGACATAACAAAAACAATAATGTAATTTTAGGGAGCTTGGTGGTAAGAAGTTGTTTGACAACTGCAAAGCACACAGTTAGACTTCACCAGTTGCTCCAAGAGAAAAAGATGAATGTTCTTCTCCCATGATATTTACTGTGTCTGAAAACCTACTAGAGGACCAGCTATGAGTTGGTTCTGACTGACGGTATATAACAACAGCAACAACAATAATGTAATACACTATGTGTAATAGATTGCAATATGGTGAATGATGACTTTTATTACCCTTTGTAACTGTCCTCATAATCAGAGATCTTCCTTTATTACATAGTTCTTCCATTATTCACCTAAATCTTTCTCCTTATCATTGTACTAGATCAACAGAGGGACCAATACAGTCTTACAGAATAACGTGGTTGCTGGGTTTGGAAGAGCAGGATACCGCATTGACGGTGAACCTTGTTCAAGTAAGTCTTTTAGAAAAGAATAATTAAAACGGTGATCGAAGTGGGGAGTTCTGGTGACCTAGTGAAAAGGAGTTGTACTGCCAATCCAAAGGCAGGTGGTTTGAGCCTACAAGGTGTTTTGCAGGAGAAAGATGGGCAGTCTCCTCCTGTGTGATTTACTGCTGCTGGTGGGCCAGCTATGGGTCAGTTCTGACTTGACAGCACTTAACAGCACAGGATATAAACTGTACATATTTGCCAAAAATCAATAACTTCTGGTTGCCAGTTCAGTTTGTGATGTTCTTTCCTCCTGGGTACTGGAAGAACTCAACAACCAAATTCTAGCAAGATATTATTTAGTCAAAAGAAAAATGGACAGGCTATTCATTATACTTTGTTTTTCAAGTTTATTATCCAAAACTCTAACAACAACTTTAGGCTTTGTTGGCTATTATTTGAACAGATCATACTACCTTTCACTTTTGGTAGATTGCTGAATCACTAAAATCACTGGTCTGTCTAAAATTAAGATTCTCTGTTCAAGGTTATTTACATTTCTCTGCAGCCCATCTAAGCATAGAAATGCATATATAGAGAGGGATGTACAATTCTTTTGTGTTTAAATTTAAAAGAAATAAATGATCACTATTTACATCTTAATTCTATTATTGTAAAAATAGAAGGATAATAAATCAGTAAATGCATGGGGTCCCAAGGAGAGAGCAGAGGAGTGAGGATGGGTAGGGTGAAGCCACAGGTTTGCATAATTTGGTGGGTGGAGGGAGGGGGTGAAGGAAATGGGAAGGATCCTTTGGGGACCTGAAAAGAAGGGTAATGATGGGCAAGGTCCAATGGTGATTAGTTTTATAAAACATTATGCATGGAAATGACTGTATGAAACACAGTAAGAATGAAAAACAATGTCAAACACAATGTATGCGAACTTTGTAAGCAAACCAATATTAAAAAAAAAAATTTAAAAACCCCAAACCAACCTGTTAGAATAAAAACGTCAACAGACATGAACAGAGAGTTTTGAGAACTTTCTTTCTAGCTGATAGTAAAATAGAGAAGTAACTGATCAGCTGTTCTCAAGGTTACTGGGCAGCAGGAACCTGGAACATGGTGGGTTGGAGGACAAGATGGAATAAGCCCTAGCAATATCAGCTAAAAGTACAGATGCCTTGATCTTCAACTCTACAGTCCCACTTATGGGAATCTAGTTAAGAGTTGATATAATTAACTGGACAAAAATGTATGGGTATCTAAAGCTGAAGTATTTGTTATGTCTAAATAGAGCAGCTTGAAAGCTGAGCCTTCACTCCTCCTTGAGGTTTTAACAAGTCTAGAATTCATGTGAAATTTTAAAACTACCTGTTACAACAGCAGACTCTCTATATTTCTTCTGGCCTTACTATATATTTTGAAGGAAATCTTTTCTTTATAGTCTGGCATATGGAGGATGCTGCATTCTATTCCCAGGGAGGGTGGAGTGTATGATTTCCACTATACTCGAACAGATGTTAAGACATGATAGGCTATGCCCAAGGGATCCTGAAACACAGCATTGTTGATGTCTTCTCCACAATGAACCCTAAGGAAAATGCGTGACTGAGAAGCAGTTTTAATAGCAAGTTTCTCAGAAAAACGTATCCCACATTGTCAACCTTCTACCAAATGACTGTACAGTTATTTTGAAAAACAAGGAAGAGACAAATTAGAAGAGTAAATAGTAAGAAAACCATAAATGACACAGTTAAAGCAAAGATTTCTTTAACTTGAACTAATACTGCTTTTTAAAATATATGATAGGACAAGATATATGCAACCTGTGCCTTTGTATTTCCCTTAAAGGCCCGTCAAGTCCCATGGAAAAGTGGTTTGGCAATGAAGCTCATGGAGGTTTGTATGGTGTCTATATGAACCAAGACGGCCTTCCTGGATGCTCTCTTATTCAGGGATTTACCATCTGGACATGCTGGGATTATGGTATTTATTTTCAGGTAAATGTAATTTATGATTATGGTAGTTGTAATGATCTTTCATGATACTATATAACCGACAAATTGTCTTACAGACCTCAGAGAGTGTACACATCTATAATGTGACCCTAGTTGACAATGGAATGGCCATTTTTCCAATAATTTATCTGCCGACTGCTGTGTCTCACAAAATTTCCAGTAAAAAAGTACAAGTTAAGGTAAGACATAATATCACCTTACTAAGGTCAACGATTAACTCCGAGCCTGTAAAATTATTGATGAATTAATAAGAATGACCTCCTTGACTTATACTCCTGACTAGTCCACACCTTCCTGCCTTTAATCTTATTGCCCTGGGCCTAGATGCTTTTCATTCTTCTATCTTCATCTTACTCTCTTGCAACAGTTAAGTTATATTTCACATCCTGTATGCAACCTTCCCTCAACTTGTATAGATGGTACTGACACTTCCTTCACTTTTGATCCTACTGTAAGGACTTCATCTATAAGGGGCCGCACTGTTAATTCAAAGGTCATGACTCTCTGGCAGTTTAAATTCAACAACTGCTCCAAGGGGGAATCATGGACAGTTTCCTCCTGTGAAATTTATATCCTTGGAAACCTAATGAAGGGTCACCTGTGAGTCTGTTCCATATGGACAGCAATGAGTTTTGAGAACAGGTGGTCAAGACAAAGGTTTCTCCACAACAGTCCATAAAACTCTTTAAAAAAAAATTGTGTGTGTACCGTCAAATCGGATCTGACTGGTACAGGAGGAGATTGCCCCTCCTTCTCCAGCAGCAAACACCATCACCAACCTAAAGACTGGTAGTTTAAATCTGCACAGCTATGCTCTGGAAGAAAGGCCAGACAGTGCTTCTATAAACATTACAACCAAGAAACCCAATGGAGAAATTCTACTGTCTAACACTTGGGTTTACCATGATTCAGAAATTACTCTAAGGCACCAGGTTTGGCTTGGGTTGGTACCCCAGATGTATTTGTCATAGAAACATAACATCATTCTATATAATAACATGTCTGTAATCTTCCATCTTGAGTGTCTTTCCAGTAAGGGCAAAAATCGTCTTTGTGTAATGAATGATCCACTTCTAGATACTAGTAGTCATCTATGACAGTGAAATCTGGCATTATTTCTTATTACGTTTTTACTTAGAAGTAACTATTATTCAAGTTACTACTGTATGACTTCTTTTTTAATAGACATCATTAATTGTTGGGAGCAGCCCTGCATTTAATTGCTCAGACGTCCTGACAAATGATGACATGAACATTGAGCTTACTGCTGCCCATCGAAGTACAAGGCCTCTATCAGGTGAAAATTGTACAAACTTTAATTTTGACTTCATATAAAATGATATTCAAACTTCATTACAATCTTTTTTCCCCCCTTCTGTGAAAGGTGGGAGAAGTGGGATTTGCTGGCCAACTTTTGCTTCAGCACACAACATGGCACCCCGAAAACCCCATGCGGGGATCATGAGTTACAATGCAATCAGCGGTCTTATGGAGATCACAGGCAAGTTTAAATATAGCCTTTGTTTAATTAAGCTCTGAAAAGAATTGTTGTTATTGTTGTTGATTGCTGTTGAGTTGAACACAAACTCATAGGGACTCTATGAGCAAAAGCCCTAATGCCTTTCTATAACTATCATAGTTTCTCCAAATTCATAGAGTTTCCAGAGGCATGTGGTTTAGGAAGTGGATGCCACTCCTACTTCCAAACCTGTCCTACAACTGGGAGCTCCACCAAACACTGTCCACATTGGGAAACCATTATAGTATTTGATATCCTAATCACACAAAGTTCAGCATCACAGCAAAACCCAGATTACTTCAGTACAGCAAATTGACCAGGAGTGATGTACAAAGTAGAAGAATGTTCTTCCAAAATCTAACTGCACTAGTCTCACTTAGCTTAAGTGTCAAGTGACTCATAGCGACTCTATGAACAAAAGACCTGAACTCTGTTCTATAATTAGCATCTTTTCTTTATCTAAAAAGAGTAGAATACAGAATAGAATAATGCCTGGAGAAAATCTTCCTTCCAGGATCATTTTGAGCAGTATTTCCTCAAATAAAATCCAATACATTTGAAACTTAAATTTTGACAAATGACCTGAAGTCCTCAGAATGTGGAAACTATGTTCATCATCTTTCAATCAGGATGATGGCCTTAGAGAAAACCATTTAACCAGCAATAGAGGTTTTAGTTCCTGTATGGCTTTTAATAAAAGTATGTCTGGAATACTAGAAATAAGCACATAGCCCATAGGAGAGGGCTAGAGAAATGGTTGCTGAGCAAGGGAAAACAGATCACTTGATCCCTCTAAGGGTTCTGAAGTATAAATATCACCACTGGGTTGATTCCCCACTCGGTGGGAAATCTGGTCTTTCCTATTCCCTCGGTACTCACAGGAGTTGCTGACACCCAGCGTTTTAAGCCTCGTGTTATAAGAGAATGCCCTCAACTCCATACTTCCTTCCCCTTCGTTCAGCAGCATCAAAACTCATCAATATAGGATATATTCTCCTACTTGCTGCCAGTACATTTTTGTAAAGTTCTTCGCTCATGTGATGTATAATTTCTCCCTTTTGGCCTCACAATATTTTTCTGTGCAAAGAGGAAAAGAAGGTAATCATATTTCATTAATTTGAGTTAACAGATCACCCCAACATTCTGAAACTTTAAGAATCTCCTGACTAGCTCATGATTCCATGAGTTGACAGTCTGCTCAGCTGGGTGGACTTATGCTCCTGTCACTTGGACATATTCCTTAAATCACTGTCAGTTTCCAGGGTGGCTGGGAGCTGGCTGGCCCAGGACAGCCTCACTCCCATGTCGTTAGGTGATACCTGCTAATGATTAGCAGTGAGTTTGTGGACTTGTATTACGAAGGTGATTAATCTCCATGTCTCCAGCTGTGTTACTCAAGTTTATCCACATGCTGCCCTTGTTGTTATTGTTGTTAGGTGTTGTTGAGTCGAGTAAAACTCATAGTGACCCTATGAGCAACAGATCTGAATCCTCTCCCATCCTGTGTTATCTTCACCATCTCGGATACACTTGAGCCCTTTGCTGCAATCCATCTCATTGGGGGTGTTCCTATCTTTCTCTGACCCTCCACTTTGCCAAGCATAATGTCCTTTTCCAAAGACCAGCTTCTCCTAGCAACATGTCTAGAAGTCACTTTATTCGCAAGAGCACCAAGAGAGAAGGGGAGCTAATGTGCAATTGGCTTTTCAGATCTTTGTTAATGTCTTACTTACTCATGTCCCACTGGGTATATAAGAGAGGGCCACTCAATGGTGCGGACATAGATGGTCAATGGTCAATGACAATAAGTGGTAAACTGACTAATGTATTAGAACAGAGATTTGCCCATCTCTTTAAGTAAGAGAGCAAAGTTGAATGTAGTGTCAAAGCATATGTTTGGTGAAATATGCATAAAATAAATCTGATCCTACCAATTTTTCCTTTAGTAAATATTTTTTGGTTATTTATGTCTTAGGTTTAACTTTTGTTGGATTTAAGAATATTTGTTCAGGTGAAACGAATGTAATATTCATTACTAACCCTTTAAATGAGGACTTACAACATCCAATTCATGTGAAGACCATACAGCTGGTTGATACTACTGAACAATCAAAAATATTTATACATCGGCCTGATATAAGGTATTGATTTTTTTTTCTCTGTTTCTATATTTTTTCCATTTTCTCTAGAAATAGGAGAAAGTTGCTATATTAAAGTCACTTCTAATCTCTATCAAAATTAATCAGCACTATGGAAATTAGTCTACTGAAAAATGGAAATGTAAATTTCCTCGGTTGTGTTTAAGAAATTGGGCCTTAATATGTCCACTTTGTCACACTAGTCTTTTCCTACATGTCTCAGTGATATCATGAAGCACATAGAGAAGGAGTCAGACGTATGTTCTCCGATGGAGTCTTTTCATTAGTTGTTATTAGGAGGCAAAAGACTTCACATTTTTTTCCTTTTCTTACCTCTTCAGTTACCAGGTACTTTCTAATCATATTGTCACATGCACTCTCACATGTGCTTGGAAATTAAATGTCAGTCATTATAATCACTGTCATTGTGAATATGCAGAAACTTAGAACAGTGATTTATTGTTTCTGATCAGTTGGTATCAGAGTATTTCTAAAGCTCATCACTTAGAATCTAAGTCCTAGGAATATAGAAAGTAACTGCTGCTTTTCCTCAGGGGCACAGACCATGAATTTAGATATCAAAGAATACAGAAATGAAGTAGCCGGACAGTCTGTGCCCCTATTCCCAAATGGGAAGCCCACAAATAAAAATGACCATCTCTTTATAAAAAAAAAAAGATCACCATTGGACTATGCCCCCCATTACCCTGTCTTTTGTGATCTTTGCTGGATTTCTTTCATTTCTTTTACCCACTCCCTCCACCCACCAAATTGTGCAACCCTGTGATTTCATCCCTGCCCATCCCCAACCTTCTGTACCCATCCCTTACCTCCTTGGATCCCCATATATGTTTTAATAGTTATCCTTCTATTTTTACAATTAAAAATATATTTAAAAAAATATTTAAAGGAAAACAAATATTTTATTAGAGATCTTGGTCATTTCAGTATAAGAGAGGAAGGCAAGGAATAAAACCATTAATGTAAATACTTATCTCTTCAAAGAGATATAGAATTTCATAAATGGTTTGACATGGTCTCACTTTATTTTGATAACAGTACAATATCTAATAATTGTTAAGCTGCAGATTCATTAGAGTTTCTCTCCACTAGAAAGCTATTAGTTTTCATTTCATTGTTTCAATATAGAATTTTAAAACTTTAGAACATGAAAAAACAAATACTATCTTTTCAAAGATACATTATTTTTTGTTTGTTTTTTTTTTTAATTCTGTGCTTAGTGGTTTCTCTCCCAGCATCTCTTCATCAGGCACTGTGCCCATTCCCCAAATCTAAGCATTAACAAACAACTCCTCACAGTCCCCCTTCCGAGCCAGGGTTGTATCTATTTACACATCCACACAAAGATCTCCATGGATAGATAGTAGTCTGCATTGGGTGATGAGGTTGGTAAAGGAAAGGACTGAACTTTTAATATACATTATGTATAGTGAGCATATAATATTTATATATATTTTTCCAAACCCATGAAAAGAGAAAGAAAGAATAATAAAGACTTTCTGTCAAAATAAGCATCCATGTGCTCTAGAGGGCAATGTCAGCACACTGTGAGCAATGCACAAAAATGAAATCTACCCTTCAACACAATATGGATTATCTAGATGGAATTCTAATTTTGTGTCCCATAGGTATAACGTGTCCTTTTGAAATGTTAATGAATTCATAATAATAGACCAAATCAACACAATGGAAAACCAGACCTCATTATAATAATAATTATACATGCTACTTGGTCCCACCTTGAATCTTTTCTGAAATGACAGGATTCAATCAATCAACTTTTTTCATACCCTATTATCAAATATTCAAATATATTCAAATTTTCCCTCTAAAAAGCAGAAAGAGGAATATTAAATCTAGGCATTCACTTGTCTCCCCTTTTCTCCACAGTAAAGTGAACCCCTCTGATTGTGTGGACATGGTTTGTGATGCCAAAAGGAAATCTTTGCTTAGAGACATGGATGGCTCCTTTCTGGGGAGCTCTGGTTCAGTGATTCCTCAGGCTGAATATGAATGGAATGGAAACAGTCAACTTGGACTCGGAGATTACAGAATTCCCAAAGTAATGCTCACATTCCCTAATGGAAGTAGAATTCCTGTTACTGACAAAGCCCCTTACAAAGGTTTGTTGGATTTTATTCTGTTGTTAGGGTTCAACTTTGTCAAACAAAGTCTATCTTTTCATTAATTGAAGTATTCAACCAATAAGTACATTTCCTATTGATCTTCTTTATAAAGAAAAAAGTAATACCTAGATATTTGGTGAAGAGATTCCTATTTGTTTCTAAATATATACACATGTATAATTCTAGGAATTGTTAGAGATGCTACCTGTAAATACATTCCAGAGTGGCAAAGCTATCGCTGCCTGGGGATGGAGTATGCAATGATGGTGATTGAAAGCCTAGATTCTGACTCAGAAACACGAAGGCTCTCACCAGTGGCTATAGTGAGTGATGGCTATGTTGATCTCATTAACGGTAAGTTGTCAATGAAAATGTATTAGAGTTACACAAAGCATCCACTCTCAATTAAATGCATAGAGCCATCTCACAAGTTATTTTCCACATAAGTCTGTCAAACATCAGAACTTTCTTTGTCTTCCATTGTCAGAAAGATTTCTGTGTGGAGAAGTCATGACTCCATGGCAGTCCTCCATTGTGGACACTCAGGTCAGCTCTTCCTAATTGACCACTAGAAGAAAAGGAGTGGGGTGAGGAGATGCGATCTTGGAGTGATTGCTCTTCCTATCCAGTTTGATTATATGTCATTTGTATTTTGGAGGGGGGAATAAAGAAATTGAGATGAGGATCTCCAAAGAAAGAAAATTTGCCTTAATATAGATTTTTCTTAAAAATTAACAATGTGATGTGTGGATTATTTGAGACAGCTGTTTTCTAGTCTATTAATTTTTCACTCTGAAGCATCTTGAGAAGATATATCTTGAAAACAATGTGCTTTTTCTCATCTCCATTTAACTGAGAGGAATTGTTTGATAAGCCCTACGCGTCTACATTCCTTCAATTTCTGTTCCAAGTGGTTCTAGTCATGGTCTCTATAAAGGATGCAGGTCAATTTAAACTTTTTAAGTGAGTAAAAGTTACTGAAAACGTAGGCCAGTGATGCATTATATATCCTTCAAATGGCCTTGGGAGCTCAAAGAATAGTCCCTGAGCTGACTTAGGGTTTCTTATGTGTCAAAAGGTCACATGCCCTGGATCAGATAGATTTCTGTATCCTGGTAGTACCATAAATGTTCTAAGAAATTCTACGATTTATCAAAATAAGCAGTATCTCATAAAATTGTTGTTTTTGTTATGTGCTAACGAGTTGTCTGCGACTAATAGCGCCCTTATGTACAAGAGCTCTGAACTCTGACCTATCCTGAGCCAGGCTTACTGACTCAAACACACCTACCCTTATTATCTCAGTTACTATATTTCATTCTGAGTTTTCCTCTCCTGCACTGTCCCTCCACCTTTATTCATGATGTGCTTCTCGATGATTTGGTCCCTCCCGGCCACATATCTAAAGTATATGAGATGGAGCTTCAAAATCCTTGCCTCCATGGAGAAACTTGGTTTCACCCTCTCCAATACAGACCTGCTTGTTCTCTTGGCAGTCCATGGTGTACGTTCGATACTCTTCTCCAGTACCATGACTCAAAGGTATCAATTCTTCTTCTGTCATCCTTAGTCATTGTCCAGCTCTCTGATGTAGCAAGTAATTGTAAAGACCGTGGCCTGGATCAGGCACACCTTAGTCTCATAAAATTAGAGATACTTAAAAATTTTAAAGGAACGTAGAATGAACCAAATTAGGATATCCCAGATTCTGAAGCTGTAAAGGCCCTCCCACATCTCCCACCCCAGCATACAATCTGCCAGCTTTCTGTGACCTGCTATCAGCTGACTTTAAATGCCGCCTTTCAGAACCTGCTAAGCAGAAAGATCATGACAAGAAATCCTCCAGCAGTCAGTGAATAACTGAGACATTTTAAAAATTGTCCTGTGATATATGGTGGAGAAAGATTCCATGATATTTATTTTGACATTCTCTTTCCTGGCACTCAGTATACGTTTTCTATCTTCAAACTGACATAAAGTTTATCTTTGAAATTTTAAAAATGATTGTCAATTTAAAGAAAACATGAAGGTGTTAGAATAGTCAATGAAGTTCAGAATGTGCTGCAGCAGATGGAGAAAAAGTCCCAAGATGGAAGTTACTGAATATTAACAGGAGCTGTGGTAGCCTAGTCAGTAGAGAGTCGCATTGCCAATACAAATGCTGGTGGTTCAAAGCCAGCAGCTGCTCCTTGGGAGAAGTTTGGGAAGTCTCCTCCCATATGATTCACAGCTTTTGAAAACCTGCGAGAGGGTCATTTGGTCCTGACTAGACAGTGCAATGTTCTAAGAAATTCGATGATTTATCAAAATAAGCAATATCCCATAAACTGTTGTTGTTTTTGTATGTGCCATCGAGTTGCCCATGACTCATAGAGACCTTAGGTACAATAGTTCTGAACTCTGTCCTATCCTGAGCTAGTCTCCCTGAGTCGGACATACCTACCCTTATTATTTCAGTTACTATGTCAATTTATCTCATCCTGGGTCTCCCTCTCCTGCACTGTACCTCCACCCTTAAGCATGATGTCCTTCCCCATGGTTTCAGTGAGTGAATGACTAACACTTCAGTTTAAATCTTCATACTCTATCTTCCAAATAAAACTTTCAGCATTATAAATTTTTCATTTTCTACCTGTTGTTGTTGTTGTTGTTGTTATGTGCCGTCGAGTTGCCTGCGACTCATAGCGACCCTATGTACAACAGCCCTAAACTCCGCTCTGTCCTGTGCCAATCCCACTGTCTCCGACACTTCCATCCCAATTATCCCAGTCACTGAATCAATCCACCTCATAGAGGGCCTTCCTCTCCTGCGCTGTCCCTCCACCCTCCCAAGCATGATGTCCCTCTCTAAGGACCGGTCTCTCCTCACAACATGTCCAAAATATGTTAGACAGAGCCTCAGAATCCTTGCCTCCAAGGAGCCACCCAGTTTAACCCTCTCCAGGACAAATCTGTTTGTTTTCCTAGCAGTCCATGGTATTCTCAATACTCTTCTCCAGCACCACATCTCAAAGGCATCAATTCTCCTTCTATCCTCCTTGGTCATTGTCCAACTCTCTGATGCATAACAAGTGATTGCGAAGACCATGGCCTGTATCAAATGCACCTTAGTCTCCAGAGAGACACCATTGCTATTCAGTACTTTGGAGAGGTCCCTAACAGCAGACTTTCCCATGGCAATGCGCCTTTTAATTTCCTGGCTGCTGGTGCCAAGACTGTTGAACTATGGAGCCAAGCAAACTAAAGCTGTGTACAATCTCAATCTCTTCACCATCCATCCTGATGCTGCCAATTGGTCCAGTGGTGAGAATCTTTGTCTTCTTAACATTGAACCTCAATCTATATTGTAGGCTGCAGTCCTTGACGCTCTGCAGCAGGCGCTTCAGGTTCTCTTCAGTTTCAGCAAGCAGAGTTGTGTCATCCGCATAACACAGATTGTTGATAAATCGTCCACCAATCTTGACCCCACATTTCTCCTCATAGAGCCCAGCCTCCTGGATAATCTGTTCTGCATATAGGTTGAAAAGGTATGGAGATAGGATGCATCCCTGGCGTACACCCTTCCCAATTTTGAACCCTGCAGTGTTCCCTTGCTCTGTTCTGATGACTGCCTCTTGGTCCAAGTATAAGTTTCGCATTAGAACGATCAAGTGTTCTGCTTTTTAAATTTCCAAAACCAACCAAGAAGGTATATTTTTTAAATAGAATGTTTATTGTGCATGATACAGCAAAAGTTAGTTTTTTAATGAGCTTTAGGAATATATATTGATTTAAAACGCAACTGAAGATCAATTATAAATATTGATAATACTTCCAAGTAAGCTAGGACGTTCAGCAAAGCTAATGAATAAATATCTCAATAAAATTTATCATTCCATATTTTATACTCTGCGGGGGTCTTTGGACATGTAGTGAGGAGAGACCGGTCCTTGGAGAGGGACATCATGCTTGGGAGGGTGGAGGGACGGCGCAGGAGAGGAAGGCCCTCTATGAGGTGGATTGATTCAGTGACTGGGATAATTGGGATGGGAGTGTCAGAGACAGTGCGATTGGCACAGGACAGAGTGGAGTTTAGGGCTGTTGTACATAGGGTCGCTATGAGTCGCAGGCGACTCGACGGCACATAACAACAACAACATTTTATATTCAATGTCTCCTATGTATAATTTCAGCCACTTTAAAACTGAAGTCTAATAGATAAATGTGCTATGAAAATCTTGCCATACTTATTCTGGAAAAATCTAGATTCAACTAGGGAAGTTTCTACTATCTCTTGACATGTATATAGGATTTGATAGAATGTTATTCTCAGATGTTGGCCTTTATTTTTTTTAGAAAAATTAAAAATTATTATTTTAAAGAATGTTTATAGAAATGTTAGGTTTTCATTCAGTCATTATTGCATATTTTCTCCCCTCCTTCTTCCTTCTCCCTCCCCCAAACCACTCTGCAATGCACTTCATGTTCCCTTAAATGTAAACTATTTCAGTGCTTATGTACATACTAAACGTAGTTAGGTGCCCTGGAAACATGGCATGTTGTGCTGTTAACACAAAGCTGGAAGCTGGATTCCATAGGAAAGAGCTGAGTTGTCTCCTTCCATAAGGATGTAAAGCCTCGTAAACCAATGGCAGGTGGCTGGGAGTTGGAATGCAGTCAGCAGTGGATTTACTTTCTGGGTTCATATAACTGAATCTTTTAGCAAAAATGTATTAAATAAAAATATAAGAGAGGATGATTAACACTTTAAATACTTGTTGAATGTGTAAATTAATGAACAAATGAGTGAATGGAAGAGTTAGTGAAGCAATAGTTTAAACATAGGAATATTCCCATTTTCTACAGATCCATTTTTTCTTAAATTTTATTTTATTGAACACTTACAGAGATTTTGGATTTCCATTCATTCATTCTTGCACTTTTCTCCCTGCCCCTCCCTACCCCGCAGTTCACTCCTCTCTTCGAAAAGCAAAAGAAAAACTCCTTAGTTGGTATACTATCCAAACACACACACACACACACACACACACACACACACACACACACACACACCCGGCCTGAGTGTACTCCAGTATGCAACCTTAATTCCATTTTTGACAGATTACTTTTGTTCTATAATATTTCTCAGCAAATATCCTAGGAATGTTTCCTTCCCACCCAAGCTCACAATACATAGGAGACAAGATGGAGCATTTTTGTTGTTGGTTGGATTTCCCCTCTCTTCTTCTCCCTGCTACCCACCCCCACCAAATTAACTGGGCACCTGAAATGAATGGCATGGCAAAATGGTATCAGAGAGAAGCATGCAGACCTACTACTTTCCTCAATGACCTTCCATTGAAACCTCACCAATACATTCCAATACTTTCTTCCCTTGGGCACTAAAACTAAACGTATTAGCAAGGAGATTTTTCCTTCAATTTCTCTTAAGCCCAATGTTTGAGAGAAGTAGCTTGATTGTTTGTTACATGAGTTGACAAATACTAGGTATAAATCTTAACCTTGACTATTGTAATATGTAAGATATTTCTTTTTAATACAAGGCCCTCTTAGAGATGGACCGACAGTGAACCCAGGGGTATCAGAGATGGTGAGGATGCCTCGGGATAGGACTGGATTCAGATCTATTGTTCATAGGGTTGTTATGAATCATACTCAGCTCAACAGCGCATAACAACAACAGCAATGTGTTAGATATTGCAGTAATTGTATTTCCAGTACTGGAACATGAACTTGGAATGTGTGTGGATTTAGGCCCGCAGGATCATGGCTGGTGTGCTGGATACACATGCCAGAGAAGACTCTCACTGTTTCATAGCATCGTCGCTCTGAACAAGTCCTATGAAATTTACTTTACTGGCACCAGCCCTCAGAATCTCCGACTGATGTTACTTAATGTTGACCAAAACAAGGTAAGGAAAGACATAATACCCAAGGGCTACTGGTGTTAATCATTTGCATATAATTCTGGCTCCGTCCCTGTCCTCTAGAACACCAGCAGCCCAGTTTACACTTGACCTTACTGCTCCAGTTATGTGGTATGACTGTGTGGGACCTACGGTTTGGGCACTTAGCAGGCAAACCAGACTTTTACACAAAAATAGTGCCTGTCCAAAACAAGACACTTTAATTCTGTACTTCTGCAGTGTTACTGTTCTTTATAAATGTCAGAAATGTACCTTTGGCATTTACTTCAGAGATGGTAGCACATGACTAAAATGCCTCCAATAATGTCCAACATTTGCTGTAAAATGAATTTAGCTGTGTCTGTTTCATTTCTATACACTATGATAGTAGAATGCCTCTGGAAACTATGAACTTTGATAAATGACGATAGTTACAGAAAGGCTTTAGGCCTTTTGTTTATAGAGTCACTGGAGTTAGGCTTGACTGACAGCAATCAACAACAACAACAAGATAGTATAAAAGAGTATGAGGTTAAGCAGTACCTTTATAATTTCGATTTTCTTGTCTGTGAATGTGAGCCTTAAAGAGGCCTTGAGGGCCAGGAATATGAAGAACAGGCCATGCTGAGATGAGGCAGGGAGTAGTGAAGAAGGGAGGCACGTCCTTCCCTGTGGAGAGCAATTCCTTCCTTTCCAAGAAAATGTTGACCTCTCTCTTTCTCTTGCATTAAACTAATCTGACTGCAAATCCCGTTGACTCTTCTTTCAATATAAGACTGTGACTCTGAATGCTCCTTTCCACCTCCACTGCTAATCATCCAGTTTAAGTTACAATCGTCTCTTACCTGGATTGAGGAATTGTCTCCCAACTCAGATCCCTGTTTCTACCTTTCCTCTTCTGTGACGGATGCCCACCTGGATACCAGAAACTCCTTTCAGAACACATACCAGAGCAGGTCACTCCTCTACCCGAAACTCTGCAATAACTTCCCCGTCTGCCTTTGCACAAGAGCCAGAATCTTCACAATGATTTCCAAGGCCCTATGGGAAGTCCCCCACCCCACCCCTCAAGCCCTAACCTCTCTGTTTTCCTTTTTCTCCTCTCCAGCCACACTGATCTTGCCATTCCTTAACACACCAGGAAAGCTGCCACCTGGGCCTTATTTTTACTTACTGGGACTGGCTGGGATCCTCTACCTCTGCAGCCAGCTCACCACCTCCTACAGGTGTTTGCTCAGATACCATCCTCTCAACAGTCCCCCTCAGCACCTCTTCCAGTGTGGCCCTCCCAATTACTCTTAAGCAGACTCTAACTTTTCTTGTTTCCACAGCACGTCTCATCTTCTCACATGCTTCATGCTTTTTTTTTTTTTACTTCTGTTATGCATAGGAAGCATTGATGGCTTGTTGTTGTTCTTGTTTACCATTGAATCAGAACTGATTCATAGCTGAACCTCCAGCGGGTTTTCAGAGACAGTCAATTACAGGGGAGATTACCCATCTTGCTCCCAAAAAGCAGCTGGTGGATTTGAACCTGGTGCTTTTGCACTGGCAGCTCAGTCCCTTACCACTAAGCCACCAGATGCTTCTCTGCCAACACAAAGGTAAGAAGTTTGAATCCACTAGCTGCTACGCAGGAGAAAGATGAGCAGTCTCCTCCCTGCCTCTATAAACCCTCTCTCAGGGTCAGCTGTGGGTCAGTTCTGACTCAACAGTGCCCAGCAATAATTTATGTATTATTCCCTTCTCCACTGTCAAATATAAATTACAAGATAGCAGAGATTTTTTTTCGGGGGGGTGGCGTTTTGTGTATGTGGTTTGGTTTTTTTTTTGTTTGTTTTTTTCAAACACTGGCATAGTACCTCCCTTAGGTTTGGGCTTAAAGAAAATTTGAATGAAAGATATTTTTGATTGAGAGCATCAGAAGATAGGATCAAAAGACAATTCCTAAACAATGTTTAACATAGTCGACTCTTTACCCTCTTTTTACTAATCTTTCCCTGTTCTTGCAAAAGCCAGTTTCTCTACTTGATAGCTGTATCTTATAGCATGATATGTGAGGAAAGTAAACATGAAAAATTAACAGAATGGAATCAGAAAGGGTAGTTGTTTTGACTTACTGTAAAAGGCTGGTTGCCAGTTCTTTTGGGAATTTTTTTTCAACATTGATTAACTACTCACCTAATTTTTGGAGTATGTATTATTCAGAGCACTACTAAGCTCCTTCACCCCCATGGTTGGCATTGAAAGCACACTACTGTCTTTAAAAGGAAGACTTCCTCTCATTTAGAGATGCTGTAGTCATCATTTATACCTTACATTAAATGCTTCTACTCATTACCAATAATTAAAAGCTAATCTGTAATTGTCTATAGTAATGGTTAAATGTAAGCCCATTTAAAAATTGTAATTCAACATTTATCTTATATTGACAAAAGTCTGTCTTAATATTTTACTCATTTGTGCAGTCAGTTGATATTTTTTTTAGTACTGAATTCTAAATATTCTCTTTTTTACTCTTAGACACACATATATTCTTTATTTTTAACAGGCTATTCGAGTGGGAGTGTTTTTTTCTACAAGTCAGCGTTTGGATGTCTATGTGAACAATTCATTGGTTTGTCCCAAAAATACAGTGTGGAACTCCCATCAAAAACAGTGTGAGCTAATCAGGCATCTATACGCAGGTATTTTCCTCTAGAAAAACCAGTTCTTATAGATGTTCATATAGTTTATTGTTAACTATAAAAGTCTTAATGATCTTTATTTTTTTTCTATAGCTGTATATATTGGTTGCTCCGTCAGTAATTGCTCTTGAATCATAACTGACTTATAGATAACCCACCCATAGGTACTAGAAAACTGTAAATTGCATGGGAGGAATCACTCATCTTTCCCCTATGAAGCTGCTGATGGATTTGAACCATAGAGAAGTGTGTCCTTTCAGCTAGCAAGACAGATCTCTATGGACTTTGATACCAAAGCCAGTGAGAGAGCGAGTGCATGGCCTTGGCCTTGTGTCTCTCAGAATCTTGTTATTATGAGTCAGAACAAACATCATGGCAGTAGTTTTGATGTATACACACGCACACACACAGAGGTATATACATTTGCTTATTCAAGTTCAGTCTATATTTTGTATAAAACTAGAAAGGTTGATCTTCTGGCTTTGGTTTTTCAATTTTTAAAAATTGAGAAATTTTGAAATGTGGAAAACCCGTCTTTACCCTAAAAATGCAGCAAAACAGTAGAGTGATTAAAGCTATAGGATTTAGATCAGGCGCATTTAGCTGCAGACCCTAATTTCTTCCCCTTACAAGTACGTCTTGGACAAGCTGATTAACTTGACTAAACAAGTGTCTTTACCCTTATAATCGTTGTTGTTGTTATTGATTGCCACCATCTCATGACTCATAGCAACCCTATGAACAAAAGACCTGAAGCCTTTCTATAACTATCGTGGTTTCTCAAATTTCATAGAGTTTCCAGAGGCATGTTGTTTAGGAAGTGGATGCCACTCCTGCTTCCATTATAACAGTAATAACTATTTATTCTATCTTACACATTATGTGGATCAGTGATGCAAAATAAATAGTGATAGAGGAATTGATTTTGTAGGGTGCCCTGATGGTGAAGTATTAAAAACACTTATCTGCTAATCAAAGGTCAGTGTTCAGATTCACCAGCAAGTTTGTGGGAGAAAGATGTGTCAGTCTGCACTCATAAAGATTTACATTAAAAAAAATATATAATATGACTGCTCTCTTGCAGATCTGTTTTATTGTTGTTACTGTTTATGGAAATAGCAATGCTTTTTATGAACTCGTTACATTAGTGCTCAGGATGCAAAATTGATAGCTAAATATTTATTCGTTGTTGTTGTTAAGTGCTAGTTACCCAAAATTTATTATTGTTTATAATAGTATAATAATAAAGTATTATTTAAATACATTTTACTAATATAATAATAAAATGTTTTATTGTTATGTTATAATAGTATGTTATAAAATAATAAAATTTATTGTTATCTATGTTTCTACTCCTTCCATTTTATTAGAAAATTACCTAGGGTAAATTAGTATGCACAGTAACTCGAGTTCAGCTTGAATTTATAATACAAAAGTGTATCATTTAGATTCACAAAATGTTTAAGGCAAATTGCATCTAGAATTTATACTAGTTAAAGAAATTAAACTAATAACAAAATGACTTTTTAATGTGACAGTCTATTATATTTGTGAGTAACACTTTTGCTTCTAATATTTAAATTTCTTGTTCTTAGTAACCTTTTTTGAAATGTGATGAAAGGCTGTGTGTCCATTATGCCACTAGTAAACAATATTAACTTTGGGCTTAATATGTATTAATGAATTTATTACACTCTGAGGCATTGCTGATGAATAAAATCATATACATATAATAATTTCAATCACTTGCTCAAAAGATCATTCGCACAAACAACAAATGTTGGTGAGGTTGTGGAGAAACTAGAACCTTATTCACTCTTGGTGGAGTGTAGAATGGTGCAACCACTATGGAAGGCAGTATGGCACTTTGTCAAAAAATTTGGAATAGAAATACCATTTGACTCAGCAATTTTACTACTGGGAATATACCCCAAAGAGACCATAACTGCCACCCAAGCGATATATGTACACCCATGCTTATTGCTGCTTTGTTCACAATAGCAAACAGTTGGAAACAACCCAAGTGTTCATCAACAAATGAATGGATAGAGAAACTGGTTTATTCACACAATGGAATATTATGCAACACTGAACACCAAAGAACTCATGAAATATTATACAAAAGGGTGACCATGGACAACATTATACTGAGTGAAATATCTCAGTCACAAAAAGACAAACACTGCATAATGCCACTGTTATAGAAAATGAGTGACATGGGGACTGGAGGGGATAAATAATGTTTATGGCATTGAAACACATGAGGGAGAGAACTGTATAAAAGGGATATATGATTAGATATTATTGGCATGACAAGAGTCCAGAATATGAGTTGCATTGTAAAGTGGCCATGGGGTGGGGGAAGACTGTATAACAATGAAAGAACTTTTTTCCAAAGAAAAAAGCAAACTGGGTGGGGGGAGGGGAGAGAAAAATGTGTAACAATGAATGAATGGAAATCTCAGGTCTTTATATACTTTCATTAAAATGTAAAAAAAATTTATTCCCTATTTGTTTTACATTAACTAAAGATTTTTCAGATTGAAATATAAAGCTGTTCCTTTGGTGTAAGATAATCAGATATGTTTCAGGTCTCTCATTCATAGCGTCACTATGAGTCATCTACGACTCAATGGCACTTAACAACAACAACAACATTATATATTTTTGCTCTTGTTAAAAACAGAAGCCACTGAATTGTAGATGTTCTTTTAAGGATTGGTTTATGTTCTTGTTCATTGCCATTGAGTTGGAACTGAGTCCATTTATCACATAAAAGGAGATTTCCCATCTTTCTCCTGCAGAGCAGCTGATGGATTTGAACTTCATACCTGTGGGTTGGCAGCACAGCTTTTAGAGCGTTCTAAAGTCAAATTTATGTTCCTTTTTTTTT